GTTAGCTACCGTGTTCCCCCGAACATTATGCACCCTGAAAATGAACGTATACAAGCTATATTCCCGGTCCGGTACAGCCAAGATAAGGGTGCGTTGTGTTCGGGGGAAGACGGTAGGCCGCTGGATCAACGAGAGAAAAGCGTAGAAAGACGGAGGAAGAGAAACAGAGGGGGAGGAAAAGAAAAAGGAGTGCACCTCGTAGGCAGCGAAAAAAAAAAAAAAAAAAAGAATGCACCTCGTAGGCAGCTCCCCCCCAAAAGAAAGTGCTTTAAAAAAAATAAAAAAATGCAGCAGGGAACCCTTGATGTTGGTAAAAAAAAATGAAGTGCTTAAAAAAATAAAATAAAATGCACCTCATCGTAGGCAGCCGAAGGGAAAAAAAAAAAGAAAGCACTTCGCTGGCATCCCCCGAAAAAAAGGTAGAAAACAAAAAAAAAAAAGGAAAGAAAAGAAATGCACACGCTGGTATGAATTCAAGTTCTTTCTATTGCGTGTGAAGAGCAACTTTGGCCATTGCTTACCTCTTCGTCTTCTTCACCTCGTGGGCAATCCAAAAAAAAAAAAAAGGAAAAAAAAAAAAAAGGAAAAAAGATTGCAGCTCGTATCAGAAACGTGCTCGCGCGCGCAGCGGTTGTCTCGTTTATCGTACCGTTTTCCGTCGAACGTAACGGATATCGGTCATGAATGTATACAAGCTGACTTTCCAGTCCGATACAGTCATGTGGATGTTCTATCGTGATCGGGGGAAGATGGTAACGTCACACACACCCATCGTATACAAGCTGCCTTTTCGGTCCAAGACAGTCATGGGGAGGGGGCGTTGTGTTCGGGGAAGGGGGTAACGTCACACACACCCATCATAAAACGTATACAAGCTGCCTTTTCGGTCCAATACAGTCATGGGCGGGGGCATTGTGTTCGGGGAAGAGGGTAGTATCACGCATACCTATCATGAATGTATATACGCTGCCTTTCCGGTACGATACAGTCATGAGAAGGCTGCGTTGTGTTCGGGAGAAGAGGGTAGCGTCACGTTTACCGATCATAAATGCATATACAAGTCACGATACGCTTTTCTGGTCCTCCGATCGTGAATGTATACAAGTCACTTTTCCGGTCCAACGATCGTGAATGTATACAAGTCGCTTTTCCGGTCCAAGACAGTTATGAGAAGTGTGCGTTGTGTTCGGGACAAGACGGCGGTAAGGGTTCAGTGAATGTCCCGTTACCGGCTTCCCTCGAACACAACGCACCCCCATCATCGCTGAGGACTCGTAAACAACACACACACACACACACGGGGGGCATCAGGCGCACCGACCTTGAATGCACATAATATGCCTTTCCGGTCAGATACAGTTATGAGAATGGTGCGTTGTGCCCGGGAGAAGATGGTAACATCACGGTCACCGATGATGAATGTATAGAAGTTGCCGTTCTGGTGCACCAATCATGAATGTATACAAGTTGCTTTTCCGGTCCAATACAGTTATGACAAGGGTGCGAACTCATCTGCAGACTTAGGCAAACGGCCATTCTGATACAGTTTTGCGCATTTGATTTTTTTGGGTGCGCAATAGTGCTGTTTGGTTTGGGTCAAGGCAGATTCATTTATGGATTGAAGCATCCGTTGGGAGGGGAGGAGGGGGGGGAGGAGGGACCCGCTCTGCACACTATCCGAGAGTTCGCCCTCCTGATAAAAAGTCTGTCATAACCAGAGAGGGGGGGGGGGCGGGGGGCGCTGCGGGGCGCGCTCTGCACACGTTTTTCGGGCATTTCTCCGTTTCACTGACGGTTTCATGGGAATCTTCTTTGTGGCTTCAGTGTGTGTGTGTGTGTGTGTGTGTGTGTGTGTGTGTGTGTG